CATCACTCACGTCCCCCAAGTTTGCCGGAAACAGTTCAAGATGACTGTTCAGGAAATGCATCTTAATGCTCATGTTGCAACCTAACACATGGAAACTTTCCATCAAAGATTCAACGAGCTTTTTATAGTCCTCTGATTTCCTGTTTCCAAGAAAGTTCCTTACAACAGAAACGAATGCTCCCCATGCATTTCTCTCAACATCAGTCATGGATTGAGTGAAGGCTTGGTCTTTAATCAGCGTCCTAATTTGAGGGCCGTCGAAAATACCTGCTTTGAGTTTTTCTAGCGTTAAACCAGGGAACACTTCACACAGATACTTAAAACAGTCACTGTCAGTATCGAGCGCCTTGACAAACTGTTTCATAAGGCCCAGCTTGATGTGAAGGGGCGGGAAAACAATTTTTTCATGTTCCACTAGGGGTTCATAAGTGATGTTCTTTTCCCCAACATTGAGGCTTTCCCTAACTGGCCATTCCTATTGAATCCAGTGTCTGTCTTTGGCTCTGCTGTCCCAGAGGCAGATAAAGCAAGGAAATTTTGTATACCCACCTTGCTGTCCTAGCAAAAAATTGACCATTTTTAGATCAACACAGATGATCCATTTGTGTTCTTCATATTTGAGTAGCTCCAAAACCGTTTTGATGTGTTCATATTTTTCTTTCAGGTGTACTGAGTGTCCTATGGGTATTGCGCCAAAGATGTTGCCTATATGTAATAAAACACACTTCAGACTCCGCTTAGAGCTATCTATAAAGAGGCGCCACTCTTTCGGATCATAACCTGGAGCTCCCATCGCGGTGACTAATCCAGAAATATCACAACAGTAGACGAAGTCAAATTTAGAATCAAAGAACTGTAAGAAGTTCTTTTCTCTGTTGCGAAAGAATGTTACCTTTGTGTCTATTTTCAGCAAGTTTTTATCTTTTAACCGTAAAGCCAGCAATTCTGACAGCTTTTTAGACAGACCCAGATCTCGAACTAAGTCATTGAGTTCTGCTTGGCTAAATGTTTGCGGTTCTGTTGATATGCCTGCAAAATCTGAGTCACTATTTCTGTTAGTTGACTCCTCTGTGACCTCAGTGTCATATTCACTGTCAGATTCAACGGAAGCAAGTTGAGTGCTTATTACCTCCCTTTGCTATTTTCAGAATCTGTGACCTGATATGTAAATTGCCGCGTAGCATCAAAACTAGACCTGATCTGCACAAACGAATGCCATTTTCAGAATCTGTGACCTCAAATCTACCAGAATCAAGTGTCAGAACTCATGCAACCGAAAGTGTGTTCCCCAGTGATTAATAAATAAATTAATTAATTAATTCCCCCGAGTGTCAATGCCGTTCTGGTAAGGCGGCGTCTGCCAAGGACTGCTTTCAGTGATAGTGATAGATTTTTTTTTCTGATTTATCATTCAAGTAATTAATTCCAATTCTTCGAGTTTATGATTTTTGTTAGCATATTGACAGTCTGGGCATTTCTTTGAGCTTGTCAGTGTCAAAAGAATAAGGCTATTGAAAGAAAACTGTTCAAATCTTATTTAACATCCTTGACTTTTTTTTTATTGAAACAAGGTGCAAAATGTCAAACCACAATTTTGTGTGCATGTTTGTGCGCAATTTTCTGTGGAGGGGGGCCCGTAGTTTTCATCAGATTATCAAAGGGGTCCGTGACCCCAGTAAAGGTTAAGAATCCTTGCCTGGTCAGATGACTTCCAGTCTTAATTGGCTCCAGTCTGAATGGACTACGCTCTCATTGGGTCTCTCATTGGAACGAATTAGGGTTGGAATCTATTAGGGCTGGGGCTCAATTGCTCTATAACCTTCCATCCCAATGTTCAGTAGACTGTACACACCCACACTAAACCCGATAAAAAGTTATATTACAACAGTCAGACTGAATCCACTCCTTACGCATTGTATATTCACAAACACTTCTCCCCAACCTGCATTAGAGGGCTAGAACTTAATAACATAACGTTTACCTAAGACATGAACAATTAATTGACCTGAACTCCACAAGTAGGTAGTAGGCCGTAGGCAGCTATCAAGCAGGGAGGTACTACCCCCTGGGAAGATATTAGAAGCATTATGTATCGTCTAATGGTAGACCCTGCTGCCATATGGCATCACAAAAAAATTGTGACCAAGACCCAGGTTGCTCATGTGACTTTCTGCCTCATTTACACACAATTGCAGGATCTTAATTGTTCCTCTTACTTTGACAACACAACATACATATACTATTTTTTTTAATTAGTGTTGTTATTGTTATTATCATTATTATTTTATTATGTGATTTTTAATTGTGCATTTTATTATAAATTTAATTTACTATGGATTATTATTATTATTAATATTTCTATTAATATTATTATTATTATTATTTCTATTAATATTATTATTATTATTATTATTATTATTATTATTATTATTATTATTATTATTATTATTATTATTATTATTATTATTATTATTATTATTATTATTATTATTTTATTTATTTTTTTTTTTATTATTATTATTATTATTATTATTATTATTATTATTATTATTATTATTATTATTATTGTTATACTTTCGCTCTCCAGGCCCCGATGTGGGTAAGCGACCTGAGCCCTGGTGGGCTAATGCCTGAAAAGAAAAAAGTTCGCCTTTCTGAGCATTTAGATTGGTCTCCCTCTCCTTGCCTACGTATGCAAGAGCTGTGTAAATGTCCCTGTTACTCATAGGACCTCACCCTCCGAACATTATAAAGTATATCTACACGAACCCCACCCCCTCTCTGTTCACAAAAACAGCCCCTTCCCTAAGCCACAGAAATCGCCTTCCTCCTGAGCCCATAAACAGCACTCTGAGCCCTATAAATACCACCTAAGCCTCATCAACAGTTAACCTTGAGCCTCCTAAACAGCCTCCTTGAACCCCATGAATTACCTCCCTGAGCCCCACAAGCAGCCCAATGCGCCCCGCAAACAGCCCCCTGAGTCCCACAAACAGCCCCCTGAGCTCAATCAACAGCCACCAGAGCCCCATAAACAACCCCCATAAGCCCTATAAACAGCCCCCCTGAGCCCCATAAACTGCTTTTTTTTTATTTTTTACGGGGAATAGTCCAACCTGGCACAGGTCATCGACCTAGGAAGCGAAAAAATAAGAGGAAAAAGAAATTAAAGATAGAGAATAAAAAGATTATATCAATCTACACAACGAAGATGCGGGAAAACCAGCTTTTTAAAGTGAGACAGATTGTATGAGTATGGAAACACAGAAGAAGGCAGAGCATTCCGCAGTTTGGCTGTGTGAGGAAAGAAGGGTGTACTATAACTGGTTATTCTAGTATGACCGACAGCCACAGAGAAACTGTGGGCACCGCAGGCAAGACAAGTGTTTCGAGCCGACGGCATTGCTGGCGGTACAGAGGATGCGAAATCCACCGAACAGAGAGTAACTAAAGGAGGAGAGTCAATAAGACGAAATGCCTTTGATTCCACCCCATCTTATAGTTGTACAGAAGAAGAGCCACCCCAGATATGAGAGCAGTACTCCGAGTTAGGACGATTGAATCGCTTATAAAATTGAATCAACTGCTCAGAGGTGAAGTATGTATGGCATCTGTCCAGCATTCCTAGATTTCGGGAGGCGGCCCCCTGAGCCCCATCAACAGCCCCCCAATGCCCATAAACAGCCCCTGAGACTCCAAAGCCCCATAAACATTCTCTCTGAGTTCAATAATCAGCCACCCCTAAACCCCATCAACATCCCTCATGAGCCCCATCAACAGCGCTCCTGAGCCCCATAAACAGCTTCAAGGAACCCGATAAACAGTCCCTTGGCCCAAAAATATCTCCTCCCTGAGCCCCAAAACAGCTACCTTACTGAGCCCCCAAAATAGCTACCTCATTCATCCTCAAAAACATCCCCTCTCTGAGTCCCACAACCAACCCCCAAGTTGAGAGTGGAGCTCTTCCAGCATCGGAATGGCGGTTGGCTCTTACGGCACCAATCAAGAGCCGGTCATGGCGACTTTCTGATTGACTGGCAGCAGATCATCCGCCTGCTCGAGTCTACTGATTGTTCCCTCCACTCTGGCCAGCCTCGTTCACTTCATAGTATTAAATTGTTTATCCTTCTCTTAGAAACCTATTTTCTTTATTTGATGTTCATATCTTATTATGTAGTGCCATATAGCATTATCGTCTTAAAAGTTGTATTGATTCCAAACATCTTTAATTGATGCCTTCACTATGGTCGAATTCAAAATATAGTAATGTTACATTAAAATGAGAGAAAATGTTCCACTAATGTAGAATATATGACCAAATACAAGCCAGACGACAGTGTTCGGAAGCAAGAGACGTGTGACGTAGTCCTCAAATATTATCAAATTTTAATAAAGGAATGTAAGAATCACATAATGCACTATTTCTGTTGAATACTTATCAAAATGGCATCAGCACCAGTCTAGGCAGTCTAGTGTTGATATGGTCTAGTACTCTAGATTCTAGAGTATTCTTTCATATAGCTGCAGCCTGGTTTGCTGGTGCACAAAATCACATACATATAGATTTACATGCACGAGAGAGTCTACATTACCACTAACTTTTCTCAACAACTAATTTTAAGTTTAGCTTACCTGCAGAGAAAAACAGTTTTCAAGATGAAAGTACGGGGTTATGTGGAGTCAGGATAGTAGAGGGTTTCAAGGTTGTACTAGATGATTCCTGCTATGTTTGGACAGTGAAACAAAAATTATATAATAAAAGGTAAAGGAGATCTATGAGGGAGAAGTAAAATCCTGCATTTTTTCAGCATTGCTTCAACAGGTGTGCCTTTCATGAAGTAAGTGTGACCTGGCAACACAACTTGGTGATCCTGGGTGTGTTGTTGTTGTTGTTGTTGCTGCTGCTGTAGTGCTATAGTAAAAGTAGCCTCCTATCCCTCCCAACTTAATGATCCTTGGTGTTTTATTGTTTTAGTAAGAATGACCTCCTGTTCCCACAGGTTACCGCTGATCCTGGGCGTGGTATTCGGCGTAGCTGTGGCCTTCGTTGTCATCGTGGTTGTCTCCTGCTTCCATTGTTCCTGCTGCCTCCTCTACAAGAAACGACAACCCACTAACGGAGGTGGGTGTCTTCGTTTTGTTTCTGTTTTGAATAAGTTACTGTTTGAGTTTTCCTTAAAAAAAATGCTCAAATATGTTTTCTATCATTCGTAAGATTTGTAAAAACTCCCACATGATTATGTTGTTTTTCAAAAGCAGTAAGCCAAGAACATCTCCTTTGCTCATCACAGGAAATCTCGCTTACATTCAAGACAAAGTCTTCCAACTCTTAATGTTTTCTTGCGCATTTATGATTTAACTGAAGACTGTTATATCTTAAGACAAAATTGTGCTGGTTTTAATAAATTTCTTACCCCATATTATCCAAAAATATTCAGAAAGCAACGCTAAGATCCCTGGCTCAATCCTGCAGTTGACTTTTATTGGTCTATGTTTTACAAACTTAAAGGATAAGTGTTTTATATGTTAAATTTTCTGCGAATATCTCGAGTTTATTGCTTCAAGTCGTCCCCCCCCCCCCCCCCCACCTTATCCCTCATCTCAGACCTTCCTCTTCCCCGACCCTCACCCTTTTCAGATCCTATTCCACTGTCCTTCCTTTCTTCCTTCACCCTCCTTCTCTTCTTCTGACTGTCCTTTTCCCCTAATAATTCACACTCCCCTTTGTCATTTTTATACCTTATCCTTAACTTTTTCACTTACTTCCTCCTAATCTATTCTCATCTTTTCTTATTTGATCCTTTCTTCTCTTTCTATATTTCTTATTCAATCCACAGTTTTTCAATTTCTGCCAAAAAAATTCTCACTTTTCCCCGCGTACTCACTTCACTTTTACTATCTTCACCCCTCACTCCAACCAGCTTCCTACTCCTGTTTCCTCCTTCTCTCCCTGCGACGTTCTTCCTTCTCCCCTAATTTGAGCGTGCTACAGCTCTTGCGAATTTTATTCATCTGTACTTTCTCTTCCTCCTCTGAGATAACGCTTCCTTTTTTTATTCCGCTGCTTTCTCTACCATTCTCTACTCTTCTACCTCAGTTTTCTGCTCTGCCGCCGCAATCGTCCTCTTGTTTCCTCTGTCAGTGACCTTTCTCATATCTCTTTAGCTTACTTGGCGTCCGTTTTTTCTTTTTGTTTTCTTTTTTTTGAGAGACAAAGGTTGGGAGGGAAAGAAGAATTTGGGACAGGGAAAATGAAGTAGACAAATAAAAATAAATACATTCATACATGTAGAGTGTACAGATTGATGGTGTATTTTCTTTTCCATGTTTCTGAGTGGTTTTTCGAATTTATTTTTCTGGAGCCTTAGTTATATACCCACAAACTGTGTGTTTAGTGATACTCTACATTGGTTTAAAAAAAATAGCTGAGCTGGCCTAATTGATATTCATTTTATATAGTGATGGGAGGTTAGTGTTTCCCTCTGGGATCGGAAGGTGTCTGAGGGAACCATATGAGCTCCATATTTCTTGTATCTTCCAGTTATTGAGTGTGTCTGTAATACGACTTCTTTGTATTTTATTTATGCCGTATCTTCTTAGATGTTTTCTAAAGCATGTGTCAGCTGGTTTAGCGTTAAGTCATAGATTATTTGTCCAGTATTTTCGTCGGAAGAGATTTCTCATTTGTGACGAAACACAGTGCCTGGTTTTGTATTCTCTGCATCATGAGCATGATTAATTTGAAAGCCAAGTAGAACATAAGAACATAAGAAAATAAGGAGTGCAATAGGCGGTTGGCCTGTGCATGGCAACTCCTTTCGAGAGTTACTACCACTCTCTATCATCCATGAATCTGTCTAGCCTCCTTTTAAAACTCTCCAGCGTTCCAGCACTTACTACAAAGTTTCTAAGCTTGTTCCACTCGTCCACCACCCTATTTGTGAACCAGTTCCTTCTTATCTCCCTCCTAAGCCTAAACTTATCCAACTTAAATCCGTTGCTACGAGTCCTATCCTGCTCGGATATTATAAGAACTTTATCTATATTACCATTATTGATTCCTTTCACCCACTTAAATACTTCTATCATCTCTCCCCGTACTCTTCGTCTTTCTAGGGGATGCAAGTTTAGTTTCTTTAACCTATCTTGATATGGAAGGTTTCTAAGTCCCGGAATCATTTTCGTCATTCTTCGCTGCACCGAATCCAGTGAATTGATATCCATTCTATAATGGCACCAGAACTGAACCGCATAATCGAGGTGCGGCCTGACTAACGCAAGATATAGTTGCAATAAGACCTCTGCACTCTTATTACTTACACTTCTAGATATAAAACCCAATACTCTGTTTGCCATATTTCGAACATTAGGTTGATGTTGTTCAGGCTGTATACGTTGACCGTATATGTTCTACCAATATTAAGTACGCTGCACTTGCTGGTGTTGAATTTCATCTTCCATTTCTCTGACCACTTCTGCAGTTTATTTAAATCCTCCTGTAGCGCATTTGCATCCTGCCCTGAATTAATCTGCAGCCCTATTTCGGTGTCATCCGCAAACTTGCTTATGTCACTGCTGATCCCAGTATCTAGATCGTTTATATAGATTATGAACAAGAGTGGGCCCAATACTGACCCCCTGGGGAACCCCACTGGTTAAACAGCCCACTAAGATTTAACACCATCTACGCTGACCCTCTGTGTTCTATCGGTGAGCCACGATTTTATCCAATAAAAAACTTTCCCCGCGATACCATGAGCCTTAACTTTTCTCAGAAGCCTCTGATGTGGTACTCTGTCAAACGCTTTGCTAAAGTCTAAGTAAATAATATCGTAATTATCGTCATTATCTACTTCCTCGAAGACTTTCCTAAAAAAACGTCAGCAGATTTGTTAGACAAGATTTTCCCTTTGTAAACCCATGTTGAGAGTCGTAGATTAATTTGCTTCTCTCTAAATGCGATCGAATGCGTATTGCTATAATTGATTCAAGAAATTTCCCCACTACTGACGTCAAACTAATCGGCCGGTAATTTGACGCTGATGCTCTGTCTTCCTTTTTGAATATGGGTACTACATTTGCCTGTTTCCACAAGTCTGGCACAACTCCCGTGTCTAATGATTTTGTAAATAAATTTACGAGGGGTCCGCTAATCTGTACCTTACACTCTTTCAAAACTCGAGGAAAAATTTCATCCGGCCCTGGGGATTTTGTCTTCTTTAATTTATTTATATTCTTAAGGGACATCCTCTTTTCTGATAGTGATATTCTTTAATTTATCTTGTTCATTTCCCCTAAATATCAGTTCCACCTCTGGAATTTCCTCGTGAATTTCTTCTGAGAATACTGATAAAAAGTAGCTGTTCAATGCTTTGCTTATTTCCTTACTGTCATCGATCACTGCGCCGCTCCCTGAATTTAAAGGCCCAACTTTGTCCTTGACCTTTGTCCTATATACTTAGAAAAATCCCTTGGGATTCGCCTTGGATTCTCTCGCTATCCTGACTTCGTAGTCTCTCTTTGCCTTTCTTACATTTTTCTTAACATTCCTAGATAGTTCATTATACCTATTTCTGAACTGCTCCTCGCCTCCCTTTAATTTCTTATAAATTCCTTTCTTTATTCTTATGTCATGTTTAAGTTTTCTGGTCATCCACCTTGGTTCATTCTTATTTGACCTAATTTTTCTGTATGGTATATTTTGTTTTTGTGCTTCACATAGTATACTAGTGAATATATTATAGTCATGATCAATTCTTGTGTCATCTGTGACCTCACCCGTTCCTACTGGGGACTGACCTGACTGTTCCCAGGCACCCTCACCTAGGTACCTTCTTAACGCCTGATAAGTCGCCAATCGAAAGTTTGGGACTCTGACCATATTGTCATGGTTTTTCGTTACAAAATTTAGGGTGAACCTGATTTCTCTGTGATCGGTGTTCCCTAGTTCTTCCCCTACTGTGATATCTCTGATAATACTTTCTTTATTTGTCAATACTAGGTCTAATATATTGTTACCTCTTGTAGGTTCTGTAATTAGTTGTTTAAAAAAATTTTCCTGTACTGCGTCTAGGAAGTCTTCAGATTCATAGTCACCTACGATGTTGTCCCAGTCAATATTTCTGAAGTTGTTCTATCTTGCTGCCCTACTCATTTCCTGCCATATGGGCTGAGATGCTTCTTTCCCAAGACTTGGGGCCTGTAAATCACTCCCATAATTAGTTTTCTCTCCTTCCGCAATTTCTACCCATACAGACTCGGTTCCAATTTCACCCTTTATTGAATTATTAATACAACATTTTTATGTATCCCTAACGAAGAGTGCGACACCTTCCCCCTTCATACCTTCCCGGTCCTTGTGAAAAAGATTGTGCCCTTCTATGTGGTACTCTGATAAAAAGTTCTTGCTCTCCAGGTTCATCCAAGTTTCGGTGATTGCTATGACGTCTATATTCTTGATACATACAACCGCTCTCAGCAAGTCTATTTTATTTCTAACGCTCCTACTGTTTGTATAGTATACATTTAAACCTACCCTTACCTGGTCTTGTTTTACCCCTTGTCCTGAGTAACCACTTTTACTCCCCAGGACCTGCTTGTTTTTTGACTCCCACTTACCCCGACCTCTCCTACTGGCGAAACCCCCCTTTTGAGTGACAATTTCACGCTCCAAGGATACAGACAACGTCTTTACCCCCGCGCGAGACAAATGTACTCCGTCACGACCGTACAGGTAGTCGTTGCCATAGAATGGTTGCCGGTTATCAATGAATGCCCATTGCTTGCACAATGTTTTTCCAGTCGGCAATTTATAGCGATTGCCCTGGATAGCCATTCACGACCAACTCCTCTTCTAGGCAAGACACCACATACTATCGGGATCCGTCCCCTATCTCTGACCTTCCCCAGCGCCTCCCTATACCTCTTGAAAAGTTTCTCACTCCTAACTTTTCCTATGTCGTTACCTCCGACACTTAGACACATTACTGGATTGGTAACCTCCCCTGACAAAACCCTATCTATCCTCTGAGCTATGTCCCCTATCCCAGCCCCAGGAAAACACACCCTAGTCCTATGTTTCCTATCTCTTGCACAAAAAGTCCTATCTAAGAACCTCACCTG